AAAGCGAATTGTTCAAATCTCTTTCGCACAACAAACAATTAATCAATTACTTATTATACGATTAAGAACAATGCACAATTCAATCGAACAATGCTTTCTATGCAATCGCAAAAGTGTGAGATCAGAAAACAAACTCGGAGCATAAAAAACTTCTTGAACAAATGCGATCTGGACTTTGGCAACGTAATTGGAGAAGAAACATGGAAGAAATCGTCTGAAAATTGCAGAAACTAATCGCCTTTCAATTGTAAAATGTAGAGCAATGCAAATTTGAAGTGAAAAATTGCAAGAGAAGAAGAGAATGGGTAAAAAAAATTCAGAGGTTCTATTGGAAGCGGAAAAGTTATTACAAAACTGAAAAATGAAAAAATGAATTAAAGATGCTTCCAAATCAGCCTTTGGCCTCTATAAATAGTAGTCCTAAAAGAGCAAAACCGAATGGGCCAAAGCTGAGCCGAAAATAAATACACAAAACCGCAAAACAAAAGCTATACAAAAGTCAAACTAAAAGTCTAAACTTCTAAAATTCGTAGAAAATAGCTCCGGAATCGAAATAGAACGATCCATATGTCCAAATTGAAGCCCTGGAAGTAAGGAATCCAATGCAAAAAGAATGAGCCAAAAAGGATATCTACAGAAAACGTTATGACCAAATTAGTAACTAAAGGTCAGAATAGAAAACATGAAAAAAAGTATCGTATTTACGAAAATTCCTAATTAACATGATAAATGCAAAAACATATTAAATGGAAGAAATAAGGGAATGAAAAGACATGTAAAGGATGCAATAAGACTAAAAATGTGGGAACAAAATATGAGCTATCAAATACCCCCACACTTAAGCTTTTGCAATCCCAAGCAAAAGAAAAGAAAAGAAAAGAAAAGGAATGAACACAAAGCAAAATTTTCAATGGATCCCAAAGTGTAAGTAATGTGAGCAACAAAAATCAGCCAGCAATCAAAGTGTGGAAGAATCAAAACAATCAAGAATATGCTCCAAACATTAAAAGTAAAGAAGAGTTTCAATCAAATCAAATTATGGATCACAATTGGTAAAATTCTCACAAAGATGTGTATCACTCATTCTCTCAAGTGTCTAAATAAGAAATTTCACTCAAAGCACATCATGAAAGTAAGTATTTCCATAAGCTTGAAGAGCCTCTAATTTCTACCATTTAAAACACATGCACCAAAGATCAATAGGACTTTAATTAAGCTTGTAATGTGGCTAAGGTAAAGGTAAGATAAAAGAAAGTGTACAAAGCTAAAAACCAAAGAGAAAAGAAGAGCAATGAGGAATGGATTAGAAACAAGTAAAAGCAAAAACATCACAACTATTTAAACAAGAACAAATGTACAAAAGCTAAAATAATAGTTTTTTTTTTCATTTTCATTTTTTTTATTTTATTTATTATGTTTTTTTCTTTGTAGGTACTGCACTGTTTCTACACAATCCACTTTTCCAATCAACTTACAAAGCATCAAAATATGCTCAAAATGTCATGAATAAAGCAATATGTACAAAACGCCCCCACACTTGTTTTTAACCAATTCCCAAAACAATTCCAAAGCTCATCTATTCCCAAAGGTTGGGCACATCATGGTTTTTTTCAAGTTACATGGCTTGTAATGAGCTGCAAAATCATCAAGAAAAAGGTCAATAAGGCTCAAAGGGGAAAAACGAATGGAATACATGCAAGGTAAGTCAATTTGGCCAAGTGGCTAGAATCAAAAGAAGGCCTAAATCATATCAAAAGTGCATGTGAACAAATGACATAAAAAAGAGTCAAATCAAGTTCTAGAATACCTACAAACATGAGTAAATCACACAAGAAAGAAGATAAGCTCAAATCTCACTAAGGCATACATTCTACCAATCAATGATCCAAGACCTAATCATCATGAAAGACAAGCTAATACTCAAAATGCAAGAAACACATCTATCAAGTTATGAAACTTCTAACTAAGAATGGCAAATGAAAAGATGCTCACAAAAATGAAGTCTCTAAAAGCAAGGGAATCCAATGAAAAATATGCTAAGGACTACTCCCTCCCCCCACACTTAAAACACACATTGTCCACAATGTGAGAAAAGGAAATAGAATATGCAAAACATGCAAACAGTACACAAATAAAATGAAAACTATATATGAAAAAGTAAAGGAAACTATAAGGAGAAGAAACAAAGATCAAAGAACACAATGCTCCAAACTCTAAGTGCCTAAGAAGACACATCCTCCATCAAAGTAGGCTCTACTAAGGATAAATCAACTATGTTCTGAGCTGGCTCCACTAGTCTACTCTCCTAGAATAGTTTCAGCTGATGACCATTGACTTTAAAAGTCCTGCTGGTAGCTTCATTCTGAATCTCAACTGCACCATGGGGAAAAACATGAGTAATCACAAAAGGTCCATCCCATCTAGATCAAAGCTTACATGCAATCAATTTCAATCGAGAGTTAAACAATAACACTTTTTGGCCTACAGAGAACTCTTTCTTCAGAATATGTGTATCATGAAATCTATTAACTTTCTCTTTATATAATCTAGAATTCGCATAGGCTTGCAGGCGTATTTCAAGAAGCTCCTGAGGCTGAAGCTTCCTTTCAAGTTCGGCCTGCTCAAGTGCTAAGTTACAACTCTTTACAGCCCAATATGATCGATGCTCAATTTCCACCGGAAGGTGGCATGCTTTACCAAACACCACTCGAAATGGAGACATGCCTAATGGTGTCCGATAAGCTGTCCTCTGAGCCTAGAGAGCATCATCCAGAAACTTATTCCAATCCTTCCTGTTCGGGTGCACTAATTTCTGCAATAGGTGCTTGACTTCCCTGTTGAATACCTCAGCTTGCCCATTAGTTTGGGGATGATATGGTGTAGCAACTCTGTGTGTAACCCCATACTTCTTGAACAATGTTGCAATGGTCCTGTTACATAAATGACTTCCTTGGTCACTGATGACCGCCTTAGGCACACCAAACCTGCAAAAAATATGAGTACGGAGAAAATCTGAAACAACTTTAGAATCATTAGTTCTAGTGGCCTTTGCCTCCACCCATCTAGACACATAATCAACAGCAAGCAATATGTAAGAATATCCAACAGAAACAGGAAAAGGACCTATAAAATTGATGCCCCAAACATCAAAGATCTCACAGAAAATAATGGGCTACTGAGGCATCTCATGTCTCCTAGTAATAGTCCCTCCTGCCTTCTGGCATATCTCACAGCTCAGAAAATCTGGCTGCATCTCAGAAAATGGTGGGCCAATAGAATCCGCTATCCAAAACTCTCCTGGCTGTCCTCTGCGGTCTAAAATGGCCTCCTACAAATGTGCCATGACAAAAATACAGAATGTCCTGAAATTCATGGTCAGGAACACATCGACGAATAACCTGGTCATTACAAAATTTCCACAGATATGGATCATCCCAGACATAATATTTAGCATTACTTTTCAATTTATCAACCTGGGATCTAGATGCATCAGGAGGTACAACAGAAGTAACCAAACAATTCACAATATCAGCAAACCAAGGAATAGAATCTATAGAATTCAGAGCAAATAAATAATCATCAGGAAAACTATCACGAATAGGCAAAGGGTCAACAGTCCCTTCAATACGACTCAAGTGATCAGCAACCTGATTCAGTACACCACTCTTGTCTTTTATCTTAATATCAAATTCTTGCAGAAGAAGCATCCATCTAATCAATCTAGGTTTCGCATTCGGCTTCTTCAATAGGAATTTCAGTGCAGCGTGATCTGTAAAGACAGTAATTTTGGATCCAAGCAGATAAGAACGGAATTTATCTAGTGCAAAAACAATAGCCAGCAGCTCCTTCTCAGTGGTGGTATAATTTATCTGGGCTGCATCGAAAGTTCTAGAGGTATAGGTGATAACATGCGAAAATTTACCGACTCTCTGAGATAATACAGCTTCAAGGGCAAAGTTGGAGGCGTCACACATCAACTCGAAGGGGAGCTCCCAATCTGGTGGCTGCATGATAGGTGTTGTGGTGAGTCTCCTCCGCAACTCCTCAAATGCCTCCTTACATGAATCCAAGAATAAGAACGGTACGTCTTTCTGCAGAAGACTGGACAGCGGCAGTGCAATGGTACTGAAATCTCTGATAAATCATCTGTAAAAATCTGCATGTCCAAGGAAAGAACGCACCTCCCGTACAGACGCGGGGTAAGATAGAGAGGAAATAACATCAATTTTCGCCTTATCAACCTGTATTCCCCTCTCAGAAATAAGATGTCCTAAAACTACACCTTCCTTTACCATAAAATGGCATTTCTCATAATTAAGCACAAGGTTAGTTTCAACACATCTTTCTAACACCCTGGTTAAGCTATGCAGACATGAATCAAATGAAGAACCGTAAACAGTAAAGTCATCCATAAACACCTTCATGCAATTATCAATTAAATCAGAAAAGACACTCAACATACACCTTTGAAAAGCAGCAGGTGCATTGCATAGACCAAATGGCATCCTTTTATAGGCAAAAGTGCTAAAAGGACAGGTGAAAGTGGTATTGTGCTAGTCCTCAGGAGCAATATGAATCTACATGTAACCAGAGAAACCATCCAGAAAGTAGTAATAGGATTTGCCTGCCATCCTCTCAATGACCTGATCAATGAACGAAAGAGGGAAATGGTCCTTTCTAGTAGCCTGGTTTAGTCGCCTATAGTCAATACACACTCTCCATTTGTTGGCGACTCTGGTGGCAACCATCTCATTCTCCTGATTCTGCACTACAGTAATCCCAGACTTCTTAGGCACCACTTGGACAGGTGAAACCCATGTACTATCAGAAATGGGGTAGATGATCCCAGCCATCAGTAGCTTGGTCACCTCCTTCTTTACTACATCTAGAATGGTAGGGTTGAGTCGTCTTTGGGGCTGCCTTACTGGTCTAGACTCATCCTCTAAGTGAATCCTGTGCATACATACGGCTGGACTGATTCCAAGAATGTCATTCAAGCTCTAAGCGATGGCTTTCTTGTGCACCTTTAAGACTTGCAGCAACTTCTTTTCTTGATCCTCCAGAAGTCTGCTGGATATAATTACCGGAAATCTCTGCTGCTCTGCATCCAGATAAACATATTTAAGGTGCTTTGGCAGAGGGCTCAACTCCAATGAACCTGGCTGCTGTTGAATAACTGATAATGGAGATTGTGGGGCTACAGCAGCCATGGATATTATAGAATCTGGTTCTGGATCTGCACCTACAATGGAAGGCAAAACAACAGAAGATATGGCAGTATTAATCTCAGCACAAATAGAACAAATGCCACTATCACAGGTGCATCCTGGTAAAGCATCTAAATGTAAATCAAAGTCTGAAAACTGAGACAAGTCAAAATCTGAATTTACAGCAATATCAATATCAGAATCAACTACATCAACTATATCAGAATCAAAATTAGAATCAAAATCAGAATCAATTACATGAACTGTATCAGAATCTAAATCAGAATTTCTATCTACTACATCTACTACATTAATAAGGAAAACAGAAAAATCAGAACTCTCAGAAAGCATCGAATGGCTCTCAGCTGGATGTCTCATGGCATCAAAGATATTGAAATGAACTGTGTCATCTCCAAACTCCATGGACAGTGTGCCTGTATGGACATCAATCTTTGTCTTCGCAGTCATCAAGAATGGTCTACCCAGAATCAAGGTCGAGTTCTCATCCTGCATATCAAGAATGTAAAAATCAGCCGAAAAAATTAATTGGTTAACTTTTACCAACACGTCTTCGAGCACTCCCAAGGGCTGAGCTGTGCTTCGGTTTGCTAACTGGATAATCACGTTGGTTGGTTTCAAGTCTCCCAAATGCAACATCTTATATACGGCTGAAGGCATAACATTAATAGAAGCTCCCAAATCCAGCAAGGCACTAGCAAAAGAGGACTCTCCAATTGTGCAGGGAATGGAGAAAGTTCTTGGATCACCACATTTCTGTGGAAGGCTAGACTGGGACAAGGATGAAACTGTTTGGACATTCCTCTTTTTCAAGTTCCTCTTATAAGTACAGAGTTCCTTCAAGAATTTCGCATATCGAGGAATCTGTTTGATGGTATCCAGCAGAGGAATATTAATCTCCACCTTCTTGAAGGTGTCCAGCAACTCTTGATCTATTTCTATTTTCTTTGGTGGAGGGACTCTGGTTGGGAAAGGAAGGGAAATCTGCTGCTGTGCTGAATTGTCTCGGACTCCCTCTTCACTTCCACTACCTTCACTGGCCTGCACTGGACAATTGGTCAGTTCCTTGCCACTTCTTAAAGTAATAGCACTTACATTACCTTTTGGATTAACTACAGGCTGAGAAGGAAGTGCTGCAGACCCTTGTTGTTGTAAATTATTCACTGAAGTTGCTAGCTGCCCAATTTGGGTCTGTAAGTCCTGAATGGTGACTGAAACGTTCTGCTGAAACTGCAGACTTTGAGTGGCCATTTGACTCATCAACTCCTCCAAGGAAGGTCCACTACTGCTGGGCTGTGGAGGAGGTTGTTGCTGAGCTTGATTTTGCTGTGCAAGCTGCTACTGTTGTCTCATAGGAGGAGGCAGATACTTTGGTTGCTGCTACTGCACAGGGTGATGTTATGGTTGGTGGTATGACGGGTGTGCAGGCTGCTGCTGGTACACATACTTCTGCTGTTGCTGTGGTGCTGGTGGACCATACCTCATATTGGGATGACTTCTCCACCCTGGATTGTATGTAGGGGAGAAAGGGTTATATTGCTGAGGTTGCTGCTATTGACTCTGGTAAGGAGGGTGTACGCCTGCTACCAAATGAGAAGGCTGGGCTGTCTCCTACAGTTGAGGGCAAGAATCAGTATAATGGTCACCTGCACAAATGCCACATGTCTGCTGGATCTGTGGAACTGCCTGGCCCATGGCTTCTTGTTAGTACCATATTGATCAAAAAAGCAAGGCAATCGTGCCCTACGGTGGGCGCCAAAATATTTCTACTAGGGAAACACTAGTCTTCAACTATCTGCTCTGAAACGGTGACGTCCTTCTGACTATCGCTGACATGGGGAGGATACCTGCAAAAGGCACTCCGATGCTGAAGTCAGGATTCGGTTTTGAGCAATAAATGCTATTTAATAATGAAAAGTCAACATTTTACCTGTACTTTCTACTTTCTTTTATAGGCATTGTTATGGGCCAATGGGCCTGCTGAGCTAGCCTTGATTTTGACCCTTTACTTAAAGTAGATAATGCTCTGATTATTACCCTTAATTGGGTTAATTATGTGACACCCTTACTACTTATTACGCCATCAATATAAATATAATATTAATATAATCCAAGCAGTAAGAAAGCCACATGTATGAGTTTACGTCTGTTCACATTAATAGAAACTAAATACATCATCTGCACTAGTTATCCAAATACATATATACATATCATCTATCAAAATATACAGTCGTCCAGTCATATAAACATATGCACATAGCTGATTTATATACAAAATAAAGTGGGGTCACGATATCAGAGACAACAACAACAAAAATGACCTCACAAGCTTTCTCCCTAGACCCATGATTATCAAAAATACCATTTCCTCCAAAAGTTAACAGTACTCTAGGAGTAAATGGAAAAGTGAGTCTCATGGGTATCCTGATGGGGATGGGGTATGCCCCTGGGCCTGGTCCATTTCTATCTAACAAAAAGGTAATAGTGCCAGTATGGGTGGACTGTTGTCGTTCCCAATCGTGCGCCCATCTTCCTTCAGGATCATATCTGACTGTGACGCTGAACTAGTATGGTGGTCGGGCCATTTATGTCATCACCTACTAAACATATTCACATACAACACACATGGCAACTAAAAGGGTGAGACAAACCCATTTCAACCAAAGTACAATAGAAAACACGTCAAGATATTTACAATCATTATAGCAATTAGTAACAACTCAACACACAATGTACATGCCATGTATGATTCTGTGCATCACCTAGTTAATTGCTATACTGACACATGCATGTGGGCCAAAACCATTTTCTTTTTCTTTTTCTCTTTCTTTCTTTCTAGGAAGGATCAGGAGTTCACTGTCACCAATCATTCTTGGTCATAACCATCTCATTAGATAGTTTCAAAGATATAGCTCAACTGATTCTGAGAATTCATCGGGTTCTGTCACGATAGTCCAGTTTTACAGTGAGAACCAACAGCACAGGGTTGCGAGCCCTGGCCTTTGCCCAGCTCAATCACACCTGACTATCCTCAAGACTAACCTGGAGTCTCCCCTAGATTTCGTATACTTCCTATCCAACGCCACCATCATTACATGTTTATGATACATGAACCTAATTTCAGTCTTTTAATTAGGTATTAAACATTTCTTTTCAATCAATAACAACATATGTTTCAAAATTTCACCGACAATCTGGCAGAGTTTCCTCTATAATTTAGATAATTCCAAATTTTCTTCTCTCTGCAAAACAGCCAGAAAATTCCAATATACTTCGATTTTTAAACAAAGTCTCACCACCACCACATTTCATAACTTTTCTTTCATTTCAATGGCTCTTAAATACCTTTTTCCAATTATCACCACATTTCAAAATACCCATTTAAAATAATACTTTAAAATGAATTAAAATCCTTTAAATTATTTAAATATGTATATAGGTATATTTTAAATATATAAAAACTATTAAATAAATTTTGATCAAACCACTTGAAATTAAAGAAGATTTTTTTTTAATATCTTTATTTCGCAATTCTCCAATTCTTTTCAACTTTCAACAGACCTTCTATATGCTCACTCCACATGAATGATAGTTCATTCTTCAAGTATTTTAGGTAATCAATTATTTATACTGAATTCAACAAACAATTATCATAGAAACATCATCACATATAAAATCAATTTCAAAAAGGAATATCAAACAATTGTACACTAAATATGAAAATAATTATAAATTCCTTCAACTAATTCATATATACATAGCAAGGAATAAAACACCCATCTCCCAACATTTTTCTACTATACCCGTGAAAATAGATATGTCCCCCCTTACCTTGAAGTGTATACCGATTTTTTTCTCACCAACGATTTCTTTCCACCACTTCTCAAACCACGATCCTAACCAAATAATCACATATAATCATGATCAATGTTAAGAGGCATTAATCACCCAACCTACTACTAGTGAGTTGAAACTATCATTTTTTAATCTTCGCAAAAATGACTTACGGGCCTTACAATTGTTTTCTATGATATAAATGGAACACTCTAAGCCTAAAGGTGATTAAAAATAATTATTTTCCCTTCATAACATTCTTGGGACAGCACCTCTAGACCAAGGGTTTTAAACCCCCAAATGTATTTTTAACAAAACAAAAAGCACTAAAATTATTTATTATAAAATATAGAAAGATTAAGCTAATTAAAACATAATTTAGAAACAAAATTTTTGGACAAAATCTCACCCTCATGCCACTGTTCCAGCACCCAAAAAGAGGAAGAAAATAAAAAATTAATCGGTTCAAAGTATTCAAAATGATGAAAATAGATGAAATATTAAAAAAATTTAATGAACTTACTTGGAAATTTAAGAGATTAAGACCAAAGATGATCAAAGCTCCTTAGAAGAAAGAAAATGGGGCTTACGGAAGTGAAAGGAAGAAATGGGAAGCTTTAGAGACTAATCCTTATCTTAAATAGTAAAAATAATAATATAATATTAGAATTTTTACTAATTTTTTTAGTAATTAATTGAAATAATTAGATAAAAATCACAAAATTTAAAAATAATCATGAAATATATTAAAGATAATTATAAAATAATTTTTGACACTATTGATCCTTTAATTGGTGTCTAAAATTTTTACACGCAATTTATGTTTGAGCATATAACTAATTTACGTAAAATTAACTAGAAAATCCACAAATGCTCATTAATTACAAAAAAATTATTTTTATATTCCAAATAATATTTATAAATAAAATATAAATTTTTTATAATTTTTATTATTATTATTGTTATTTTTAAAATAAAATGTTATTTTTAGCATTATACAGCAATTTTAACCAATACAAATTGACACTTTTTGAAACTTAAAAATTTAAAAATTAAAAATTACCAAAAATTTCTTAAAAATATACCTAACAATTTTGTCTAAAGCATCTCATGCTAATTCTATCCCAATTTTTTTCAAAAAAATTAAGTACTATATATTAACTTATAACTATATTAATAAATTAATCATTTAGCAAAAACGAGGATGTTACAAATTACCTTTTAATCCTAACAACAAGGTATTCAGTTTCCTTTTCCTCTATGTAGGACCGAGCAGTTTCATATCCAGTACACTAGCCCCCCAAGCCCAAAGAGGTACGTGGTAAGGGCTTAAAAATATACAAGTATCAGGCACATGTAGACGAGGGGGTACTCGATTTGTAGGGAGGGTAGGAATACCGAGGGGGATTATTTGGTCTTAGGAATGTAAGCAGGCCGAATAGGGTATTCGGTTAAGGTATATGAAATCTTATTTGGTGGGCTGGAGTGCATATCAACGGAGTATACGATTTTTCAAAAAAGTGACGTAGACCGCAGAAGAAAAAAATCATAAAAGTAAATAATAAATAAAGAAAAAAGATCAATCTAGAACTTCAAGTTTTTAGGGTTTCCTCGATGTGTGCGTAGAAACGAAAGGGTGTTCGATCTCAACCGTTTGATTTGGAAGAGATCTATCGGTCTGGAAGGGGTGCGACCCTTCACATGTCCGAGGACCCTAAACCCTATAAGTACATAGTGGTCCAGGTCTTTTGTTCTCCACTTTTTCTCTGAGCCGATAAGTATATACTGTTGCTCCAAACTGAAGGGTATTCAAATTTTCTCTCTTTCTTCCGAACCGACTACCTGTGAGGTACATTTAGTTTTCTTTTTCCCTTCCTTATTTTATCATGGCCGAATCCTTGGAATGGGAGGACTCGTTGTCGGACTTATCTAGGCCGACTAGTGTCGATGGTCAGAATGCTGAAAGAACTAAAGAGGGGTTGGAAATTTCTTCAAGACCGAGGAAGGTAAATGAAGAAGTAGAGATTAGAGAATGCAATGATGGAGTCGAATCAATGATGGAGCCGAATCGTTTGAGTCCATTAATTCTGATTCTTCTGAGCCCCTACCGAGTATAAGCCCCTCTAAGGAAAGACTAGTATTCCCTCCTTGTGTACTTCCTAGATACGAGTGGGTACACGGTGAAGTAGCCACCAACTTCTCTCGATTTAGAAAAAATAAGAGTCTTCAATCCTTTGTTGACTATATTGACATTTCATTATGGGAACCTTCCGATCCCTACCCCATATCCATTAATCCTTGCCTAGGAGAGGAAATCGGGAACCCAGATTTTGTTTTTTTAGGGGGTGTCGGGATGGCTGACACCTTCTTTGAGTATGAGTATATGTTTAGAGAATTAGGTATAAAGTTGCCTTTAG